ACCACTTGGATAATATATTCAAGGGAGATTTAAACCAAAACAAGCCGGCCTTTGATCACCAACTCGCTGACGGGACGGGATACGCCTTCAAAGAAAACGGAGGACACGCCTCACCCAAAGAAAATGAGAAAACAAGGGTGAGATGGGATACTAAGGAAACTTTAAAGTTTCAGTATATCGATTCCAAATTGGATGAAATATTCAGTTCCGTCGAAGATGAAGTTTCTCACACCACATATTCAAATCTTGTAAATCAAATGGTGAAAGGCCAAGCAAAAATTCAAATGCGAAGTCACGATGATACATTGTATGCAAGTGGAAAACAAGTCCAGAAACAGTTAAACGAAATTCTAAACGGGATGGACTCCATGTACGAGTCCTACCTAAAGAAAAGGAAGTCCCTGGACCTCACACACGAGCCCAAGAATTTTACGGATCTTAAATTCCCGGTTCACGAAGAAAAGCTTTTCCAAGCAAAGGCCGAGTCTCATCCCGCGACTGCCGAGACGAGAAGAGAATCCAAGAGCGAGCTGGACGCCTTCAGGGACATCATCGACATCTCCGAAGACCTGAAGAACCTGTGTGTGTTCCACGTCAACAAGCCTGGCTGGGACTCCGCCGCCACAGACCCCCACAGCAGGAGCCCGACGCCCCGGGAAGGAGCCGACGTCGAGGCTTCCTTCCCGGACTTCTACGAGAGCGACGGCGCGACTCCGGAGGCTGAGGTGAAGGAGTTTGTCCCCGACGCCAAGCCACGGCACTCGCCCTCGCACGCCAGAGATCCCTGTAGGAGATCCTCGAAGGAGTGGGAGGGAGAGGCTGGCGTGGGCTCCTTCTTGGCCACGATGAAGGAGGAGAACTTGCGCTGCTACAAAGTGACGCTGGATTACCTGCAGAAGATCTCGGCCTCGCACGAAGACACGAGGGAACGCGGGAACACGAAAGCGCGCGTGAGTAGATGACATTGATTGTATTATTTGCTTACTGTGAATATTTGCGTAAAGTGACTTTGCTCTAAACAAACACACTTGTGAGTAGATAAAATGGATTGTATTTTTGTTTGCTGTGAAGATTTACGTAAATATGAGCTTTGCTCTATACAATCACGCACTAGAGTATATTAATTTACGATGGTATTGTTTACGATGAATATTTACGTAAATATGACTTTTGTTATACAATTTTATATTCCTATCCTCTCTACGCTTTTTCTAATTGATTAATCATCCTAATGCTATGACAATCCATTGCCAAACAAGAAAGCAATCTTTTCCAAGTTTATTTTTTAATGCAATTCATTCTTAAAACTATTCCTTACAGGGAGATGACGTCATCACCTTGCCAGCCAATCATCGACGTCAAACTGAGGATAAGGTAAGCTTAAGACTAACCAGTGTATATATATGTTAAATTTCTAGTAAATTATTACCTTTTTAGGTGACTCAACGACGTCAATGGTTTGATCAAGGAACTGATTACGAGACTTCTTAAATTACCGTCATTACGATGAATAATGATAGGGATTTGTACTGTTATTCGTGTTATGTTGCTCTTGGTCTCCTGTGTTCATTTTACTCGTTCTGCTCAGCACCTGCGACGAACAGTTATCTTGTCTTAATGTCTGTTCTATTTTTTGTTTTCTATTTTCCATATTCACTCTTCATCTATGATTTTTTATTCACTTTATTCTATCTGTTTGTATCATTCTTTACTTTTAGTCTTTGCTATATTCCTTTTATTTTTATGTCTGTCTTGTACAAAGCTGCTGGTTCGTGTTATTGGTATTCGTTATTGTCGTTGTTATTCTTCTGTTCTCCTCGTCTTCTCTTCCTTATTTACCTTTCGTCTTCATATTTTTTTCCATTTCCGGCGATTATCTTGTCTTTCTTTATTTTGTCTTCTCTTCTCTTCTCTTCTCTTATATTTACCTTTTCCGTCTTCCGCGTTCGTCCATTATTATCATCGACATTTCTACCTTTCTGCGTCATTCCTTACTTTCTTCCTGTCTACTTTCTTCTCCCCTTCTCTACGTCTCTAGTAACCTTCTTCTTACTTTTCTTCTTCCTCTCTCTTGTTTCTCTCTTCTTGTCTCTCCCTACTTCCATCCCTTCTTCCTTTTTCATATTATCTCTCCCCTTCTTACTATTCTAGTTTCGCCCTATCCTTAATATTACTCATCTAATCTTCCACAGTCTGACCTCACCTCCCCCTAGCCCCCCCCCCTCCATCTGACCTTCATTACCCCCACTGACCTTCGCCTTCACCCCTCTCCCCTTCCCTCTCTCTCTCCCCATCTCTCCCCCTCCCTCTCCCTCTCCCCTTCTCTCCCCCTCTCTCCCCCTCTCCCTACCCCCTCTCTACCCTCTTCCCCCCTCTCTCCCCCCTCTCCCCTCCCTCTCTCTCCCCTATCCCCCCTCTCTCCCCCCTCTCTCCCTCCCTCTCTCCTCCATCAGCCTCCGGTCACGTTACGTCATTCGCCGAGGACCACCATACAAATACTGTCCATTCATCGCCGTTGTTTGGTAATAACATAGGCTAATTATCCGCCCATTTGCGTATAATTAACGATTTTTGGAAGAAGAGGAATACGTAAGTGATGTAGATAAATGCAGCAGATGAATAAGACAGGAAAATAAGGTGATTGTTCATTAGGTTTATATATTACTTTAATCGACTAACTGGACAGATGGTATTTTATCCTTTCAAAGATTGATTACTTACTTATTACAGTGTGGTGATAATCAAGTTAATCGTGGATCGTGTTTACGACTATAGATTTCCTTTCATAACACTTTTGTTATTTTAGTCCATTTGTCTACGTTAAACACAAAGAAAAATATACAAAGATTATTTCATAAATAAGTAAGCTGTGTGTATTCCCGCTTCTGATTGCCCACGTAAGCCTAAGTATAATATCATTCGTAATTAGTGGCGTAGATAGAGGGGGGTCGGGGGGGGGGGGGCGGAAAACCCCTCTCTAGAGCTAAACTGCCATTTTGTCGTAAAAATTGCTAATCTTGTCGGAAAATAATCATGAAGATAGGAAAATGCTTATTACATGTTTGTCGGAAAATCTGCATTTCTCGCCCTCCCCTCCTATAAAATTTCCTATCTACGCCACTGTTCGCAATATTCCAGCACCTTTTGCCACTAAGCGTTAGGGAATACACCGTGAGACGCAGAGGATGACTACCGCGCCCTGATTTAGTAGGAATTCAGTGACTTGGAGAATGTCTGTCGTGTTAGCTCAGTCACGAACCTCCCTTCGATACTGGGTCTGGGAGATATTGTTTTGATACAGATCGTAAGCTCACCTTCCTCTGCTTTTCGGTTTAGTGTTCATGTACTTTGTTCTGAGTGTGAAGATTCTATTCGTTAGTTGCAAGGGTGTGTTACTTAAACATAGCAGAGGGGATAATGTCGTTTTTTTAGGGATACGTGCATAAAATACACTTCATTTCGATATTTATCATGAACTGATCGGGCGTATTAGGATTTTACCTGTGTCTATATTCAACCGGGGGGGGGGGGGGTGTATCTGTATGTTATTTGCAGCCACAAGATTAGACATGGATCGATATAGTCACTCACAGCTAGTTTTACCATTTTGTGTTTTAATTCATTTCTAACTCCATAAAACGCCAACTGGAGAAATAATGAATGATATTCCTACGTAAACAAAGCGTAAGCTGAATAACGATTTCATATTCATAATCCTAAAATGGCCGAAAATGGCCCTTATAGCCTCTAGACTGGTTCATTTCTTTTTCCTAAGTAACGTGAAATATAGAACACGATAGGTTACGTCTGTAATTAGGATAGGAAGAAGAATCTGTTAGCTTTCATATCGTTCTTTCTTTAAAGCCTTCGCTATCTGTACAGTTGGGGGCAGACTGGGATATGTTTGATGCATGCATATATTGTAGCATATTGTTACATTATACATTTAGGATATACTAATATATATCCATGCTGACAAAAAGGCTAATAAAATATATTCATCTAGCTCCTCGGTACATTCTATACTTGGAGTATAACATAATTGTATCTTCAACTACATCTTTCATGATAAAACAGTTATTCGATTTCACGACTGGAAGCATGGTAGGCTGTCTCACATTACAGTCTGAGATGTAATGTATAAACGTCCCTTTTTATTCTTTGAAGCAAAATTAACACTTGGTTTCATCTGTGTTTCATGTTTCGCCGTTCAGTTAGTAGAAGCTGGTGAAGTTAGATAAGTTTATTTAACACTGAGTTAAGCAAGTTTATTTACCACCCTGGCTATCTAATCGGGCGTGGGCAATTGTGATTACAGTTTTATATATATTTGACATAGTACGGTATTCTGTGACTACTGTAATTGCACATGGTAAAATAGAAATATAAATCATACATCATACAAAAAAATATTACGTTGATATGCTTTTGTCACTGTGTTTACATAACACTGTTCTTTGATTACGGCAATTTTACATAGTAAATTTTGGATATAATACCAACGTTTCATATGAAATAAAACTTTCACATAGTTCTTTATGCCTTGTGTTAAGTGATCTGAAAGGCTTGTTTTCCTAGTTAAACAGTCTGCATCTAGATTCATTTACACTTATTGCACCGTGCAGTTGTCAGCACGTTCTGTAAGCTAAATGTATTCTGGCATTAACGTCACATTGGTTTGACTTCGGTGCCACCTATAGGAAGGCTTGCTATCTTTGTACTGATCGTAGTGCTTTCAGGCTTTTGAGTGTCCGTCAGATCTACCAGTTCTTCCTTTTGAGAACTTTTCACTATATGTGCAACCCTAGCAAGAGGCATCCCAAGACCTATGTTCACATTATCTTTGTAGCAGGCATCGTTCGCCATTTTCCTACGTGGTCATACTTTTGTATACCTACAGGAGGTGATATCCATACAAATTGAATGTTGAAATTGTACTCTATTATATAAATTACGTTACGTTTACTGCAGCTTACAATTTCCTCATCGCCATCTGTTTTGGAAGAACTTGAGTCACAGAAAACCACTTCAGAGCCCCGAGACATTAAAAATTCCGGTGCACTCTCATATCAACTTGATGTTGTAGTAAGCCATTTTTGTATGCAGCGCAAGCACAACCAGCTTTGTACCGTTGCTAACAAGCAGTTAAGTACACTATTTTTTGCGGTAGACATGCAATGTGAACAATCAGTGTTGAAATTTTACATGGGGGAATGAATCGATCTTTTGGCATTTTACTTATCGGGACGTTAAGCTTTGTAATATTCATGCATATTTTGTGTATCAGAGGGCGTGCGTGTATTAGTCACGTCTGCTTGCGTGATTTTATGTTGCAGTTGTCTTTGGAAATTTGTAAGATACAGTGGTTCCCTCAAAGCTTAGATCCTAAATATAGTGGAAGTGTTCTATCAGAAATGGATGGTAAGTTTAGTTCTGATCTCATGTTCACTATCCTTGCTGTTCTCGGGGCGCCGAGGATAATCCTCATGGCTTCATTTTGCACTACCTCCTAGCTATTTATATCTGATTCCTTACACTGCAACAAGTGTAGCGCATGGTAGTCTACAACATACACTATAAAAGCCTAGTAGAATAGTCTAGCGAGCTTAACACTGATGCCATGTTGTCTTCCATTAAGAACTTTCAACGGTTTCAATATCTCCCAGAGTCTCTTCTTTAGAGAAGGGATCAGGTCTGCATCATTTACGTTCACCCCGACACATATGTACTTATGACACTTGTCAAGCTCCAGGTCTCCTATTCGAAAAGTGGGCAGGGTATGCTACATGGGTTGAGAGCCATTGTTTTCTTAGCGAAGATGATCAATCCACACTCATGATCCCTTGTTGAGTTTGTCGAGAATTATTTGCATTCTCTCTTATGATGATGCTCTGACGCATATGTCATCAGCATTTCATATAATGCATTCACCATCCCTAAGTGGAATATCTGCCACAAGCTTGTGCATGAGGACATTGAACAGCATAGGGCTGAGAACTCCTCCCTGTGGCATCCCAAGTTCAAAAGATTATGAAGTGGAACTTCACGCTCTCCTGAACAAGACACTCGCAGATCTGTTAGACAAATACATTTTAATCCAGCTCAATAATTTACCCCGAATGCCAAAGCTTACTAATTGTTCTAGGATAACTTCTCTGATTGCAATATCAGAAGCTGACTTCAGGTCATGAAAAACGGTGTGCTTCCCTAGATAGAACTTGAAAAGTACTCTGCAAAGCAATGTTGTGTGCTACGTCCCGATAGAAATCCGTATAGTTTGTGAGATAATTTACCTTGTAACCTGTACCTGAATCTGTTCAAAATTATCCTTTCTAGAACTTTGCATATATAGGATGTCTGTGAAATTGAGCGCA